TGTGTAGACAAGAAGAGACATAATGTGGTGTTCTAAGAGAGATGAGTAGACTTGTTCTGAGTTTTAACTTAGAAACTAATTTGGACATACACAGCGTGTTAAAGATTCATACGTAAAAAACATGCTTAAGGGCAGGCTTATTATTCTGTGATAATTAACAAGATGTGAAAATATTGTATAATTTGAGCAAATATGAATTAGTTACATGAATCATGTCCAGTAAGGGAGTATACGTGCCATTACTATCATGTTGTGCCAGGAAATATAACGATTTTGTATTCATGGTAGGGCTGTACCGAATAGTGATTTTTACCATTCAGCCGAATACGAATAGCAGGACCAACTATTCGGCCGAATACGAATAGTGTATCATCATCATCAGGCGCCTTGCCGACTGGCGTGGGCGATTATGCCTCGCCACAATCTGCGATCTCCTGCAGCATGTATCAGTTGGTGTGCCCACACACCTCCATGCTATGCAACAAGACTGTCAAGAATCTTCTCTTGTTGTCTTACTCTATCGCTCCTTCCACAGATCTTTCCAGTGGTCACCACATGTTCCATTTTCCCTCTTCTCATAACATGGCTGAATAATGACGACTGTCTCCTTCTGATGTCTGTGATTAGTTGTCTTGGGGCTTCCGCCTCTTTCAAAACCCCTTGGTTGCTTTTTTTTTGGCTGTCCAGGGTATTTTAAGCATTGTTCTGTAAAACCACATCTCTGAGGCCTCAAGAAATTGTTTAGCCTGCCTACCGATTGTCCAGGACTCACAACGCATTGCCTTTAAATATCAGTGCTTACTTGACGAGGCTCTAACAGTGACTATTGTACAGACCACATTTTCCACTTTAAAATTTAAGCCAAAATGTAATCACAACCTTACTTATCCGCTGCACCTTCACGAATACAGATGGAGGATCAGTCGCACCTCGAGATAAATAAAAAGAAATTTTTAAGGACACTGCGGTTGGCATTTTATGCAGTCTGATACACTTAGAGTGTGAAACAAGGAAAAAAAAACTTTTTCAACAGTGGCGAGGAAAGACAATTTAAATTTTAACTTTTAAGTATCTTCATGCCTTCTTTATTAATGTAACAATTTATTGCAGACTTTTCTTGATTTTCGCCGCGGCAACCCTGGCATACGCACCCAGTTTGAGAACCTCTGCTGTAATGCCTCGGCCGAGTCAGCAAGCAAAGACCTGGCCAGCTACTGTACCACGCAACCGGGTCGCAGTTTCCCTTGCTACGACAGACTAAGGCAATAGCAACTATTGTGTTAATGAGAGAGTTATTTAAGTCCATCGCAGTAAATGCAAAACCAGTTTAAGGTAGCCACTATTTGTATTCGGCCCGACCACAAGTATTTGGCCGAATACCAAATAGTTATTGTCCACTATTCAGCCCCGAAGCGAATACGAAGCGAATATTTGGTACAGCCCTAATTCATGGTATCATTTAAGTATGATTATGGATATGATATCACAACATCTCACAATTAACCAAACACTGTATTTTTTATGTAAAGAAAAGCTGGCCAAGCAGTCAGAATACTGGGCTTTCATTGTGGAGAACCAGGTTCAAAGTTACAGAACTTGCACAGCTCATGGCGGCCACATGCAGCATGCGGTTCTAAATCCTAAACTCAAGATCTTCCTGTCCTGTGTGGCTGTAAAAGGTGGTCAATAAGTGCAGTAAAGACAATTTATTCTGAAGCTAATCACCACTAAACAGTATGTTGTACATAAAAATGTATTACTTTCCTGGTTGGAAGCTATTTCAAATTTACAATGAACATCCAGGACCGTCTAGGAAAGAATACCATTGAAAAAACAAGAAATCAACAACAGAACTAAACAATACAAATTCTTTAGTATACCTGTTATCATCAAAACATAAAACAAATGATAAGCTGCCCTTTTACACACAAAAAAACATCTTGTGTCAGATATATTCAAACATTATCATTAGTAAATTGTTATAATAATTAACATCCAGTTCAATAAAGCAAACTTCCTGTGTAGGTTCTAGGGCCCTATTGTGGGGAAAGCCAGAATAGACCCACTGCCCCCCCCCCCCCCAAAATAGCCTGAGTTGACTAAATGAGGGGGTGGGGGAGGGGGGGGACGTCCTTCAAAATTGGAGTGCATCTGCCTGAGAGGCAAGGAACCAGCAGTCTGCACACAAATAAACCAGATTTGTAAAATGGATGTGTACTCAACACTCAGGTTCTGGAATACAACTAAAGTCTAGAGGCCGGCGAAGAAACATAATTTTCCGCAGGAGTTTCAGCTGGTAAACATGATGAAGAAGAAGTAGAAAAGCAAAGTAAAAACCAAGTACTAGGACAGTTGGCACCTCTCTTAAAACACAAGACAGACCTAACCAGAGCAAAACAAAAAACATATAATACAAAGCGTTGGCACCCCCCCCCCCCCCACAAAAGTCTTAGACATGGTCGCTCACAACAAAGCAGAAAAGAAAACTGGCAACCATGGAAATTAGAGTGAGCAGAAGAGATCAAATCAGGAATGAAGTTTACAAACACCATTCATACGTTCACTGTGGTCACTGCTTGGTCATCTGCCGCTAGATCTATGTGACTGAAAAAGTAAAATCATGAAACATTAGCGGATATAGTCTAAGAGAACCAAGTCAAAACATTAAACTCATGATCATTCTTTGACACTGTATCCTTCACAAAGATAAGAAGCACATGTCAAACTCTGTCAAAGTAATCAGTCATACAGAAAAGTGCAATTATAAAATGCCAACTAAATTTAAACAACTAAAGTGACTATTATTTAAACTGGTTTCACTGCACTTCAGGCAAATCTACACATGATCAGTCTCCTTCAGCAGAAGATATATGATATGTACAATGTGTGTGCATAGTTTATATTTACAGTATTTCTAAATAGATGATTTCAAACATATCAGTTATCTCATTTCACCTCTAAGAAACCACAAAAGAACACAATGCAACTAAGATGTTGGCATTTAAGACAATTACTAAATCCCTCCTCCTCACTCACTCTGAAAAGAATGCCACTTGAGCTGTCTCAATTTCATAATTGAAGCTGTGATGTTTACACATTTCAGCAGACAAATCCTCTTCTTCTTTGTCGACCAGCTGTAAGCTCTGGTGGAAAGTCCTGTTTGTTTGTCAACGTGGACTTTGTGCCAGGGCCTGAGTTTCAAGTGTACATCCATTTTGCTAGTTTAATTGTATGCAGCTGGTTGATTTTTGCTGCTTGGGCAGATGCATTCCGTCTTCAAAGGAAGCTCCGAGTTAATTGACTTCTATGACAATCCCACTGGGGAGACAGTGGGTCTGTCCTTGTTTTCCCCACCAAGGGGTCCTGGAACTCATACGGGGCAGATGAATCCAATAACCAGCCTGTTTTCAAAACTACAGGTAGAGTTAGGTCTCAGCCCCATTCACTGAACCCAATGCAAGAAGTCAAGTTATGAATTGTCTGCACACACACACCTATTGTGGCTATTATATTTTTAATAACCAAACAGACAATGTACTGATCAGCACTCATAGAAGGAAGTAGAAAGACACACTAGACAACATAAAAATTTAAATCTATAGTTAGTGTGCTGGGAATCAAACCTGTCACCTCCAAATGGCATGTGTGCCTTGCTATGGAAACAAGTGTATTAAGAATATGACAAAATAGGCACCCCTTCTATCTTTCTACTTCCTCTATGAGTGCTTATCAACAGACTGTTTGTTTGTTTAATATATAACATTTCTACGCTCTCAAGGGTTCCCCCCTCTGTTTACTTACTGTTGCTGCAGCCTTGGCCCCTGAAGTCGTCTGCAGTCATTCAGAGGATCTATAGCTTGTTTTCAACCTAACAGTAAAGGAATTAAGTCCCAAGTCTTGGTTCACTGAACCCCATGCAAGTAGTCAAGCTATGAACTGCTGATTGCACACAACTTTTTTGTTGTTGCTGAAACCATGGTCCCTGAAAACTAAATTGTTTGATTCATGCCCTTGAAACAGCTGACAAAAAAAAAAATTCATTAATCGCTGTTGCAACAACACAAGAATTGTTCAACGAGTATGTTTCTGGCCTTAGCATATTCACTCATCATCATATTTTTATGCTACCCATGGAACACAGGGCTAAACAACAAATTTATTTTAACAAAGTTATGTTGAAAGACCTTTTGTAATGAGAAGCTCATTAACCTGAAACAAACAGATAAGACTAAAACCAGGGTAGATCCTACTGTAGGTATTTGTGTTAAGTCTTTACATATACTAGTTCCAGTCCTATCATTAGCTGGGTTATACAACAGTCAGGTATGTTAGTAAGTCAGTCCAAGAGACTAAAATCTGAAATAGTCTTAGGTTAAATGTAACCTGAACCTGGCTTTGGTAGTGGTGTAAATGCTATGGTGGCATACTGGTAGGTGAACTGGTTATGTGCAAAGCAGCCTGGGTTCAAACCTCAAAAGTGGCAGACCATTTTCTGACCAGTACACCTCTGCGTTTAATCCATGTCTCTTAAATTGGTACCAGACAATTTTCTGGAAACTGTTTGGGAAGAAAAAGCAGGAACCAAAGGAGCTGTTTGAATTAAGAGAAGAGGAAAAGACTGGTGTTGGGTAGGACATACACTGAGAAAACCTGTTAATAGTACAAACAGAAAGTCTTTTATCTGGATCAAACCAACAGAGAAAAGGAAACAGAAAGGAGAATTAGAGACTGGTTAATTATATTGTAAGGAAATGGAGGGAGCAGAAAGAGATGGAAAAAGATAGAATGGTTTTTGCATGAATTGTTTCAGGGTCTATGCTTAACGGGTGAGTAAAAGCATGAGGAGGAAGAGGAGGAGAAGAAGCTAGTCACCCCACTTCTGCATACTGTAGCCCAGTTTATGTATACACCAAACATTTCATCTAAATAGTAGCATCTGGCATGGGATGACATTTATCTTAAGTACTGGTGTAAAGAATTCTTGCAGTATAGAGCACAAACTAACTGCCTGTTCCTGGATTGATCAGCTGCTCCCAGCCCACAGGAGATTGAATAACACCTGAATCACTATAGTTATCAAACCTCTCCTGCTGGAAGTGAGGTATCATATAGGAATTAGTTGTGAAAGAGGCACTGCTTGGTTTATTCGCTAATTCTGTATTCATTCGATTAACATTTGAATCGGGCATCAAGGCATCAAGCCATTCTGATGTGTCCATTTGATTTGAAGCAGTCAGAGTTTCATTACAATGTCCATGTTGGTCAAGACTGGAGTGAGGTTCCAAGCCATGCATATACATGTTGGTGGTGCTGCTGTTGTCACTGTGACTGTGTGGTGCATTATTTAAGTGTGTTGTATTTAAACCAGATGAAGTGTCAAGTCTGGATGTGGTCTGTTCCTGACTGAACTGATTGTCCTGACATATATTAGTATCTAAACTGCGGTCTGGATCTCCCAAATACAACTGGTCAAAACCAAACTCCACAGAAAAGTCCATAGCTGACAAATCAGCAGAAGGAATCATGTCTCCCCAGTCTGGAAATTCTCCAAAAACTGAGCTGGATGTATCTTCATTCATCAAAGGAGAGGACGGTGCAGCATCACCATGAATCTTTGATGATGAGAACTGTGTGTCGTTCAGTAAAGCTGTGTTAAAAATGTCAGGGTGTTCCAAAGTGAGAATGGGGTTGCTGGAGTCAATCCTGCTGGTGCTGGGTTGGTTATGTTGCTGACTTGTCATACTTCTAGTGGTAGAGGTGACGGGTGATCCAGAGGATGGGTAGGAACTCGTTTGGTCATTACTCATTGTGACAGATACAGGTGTTTTTGATGATGATTTTGGTAAACTTGGGGGTGAGCTTATGAATGTTGTGGCTGCACTTGTCTGTGGCAAAGTTCTTACACGAGTCTGTTCAGATGATGGGAAAGCCTCAGTTGCTGCATTTGGAGGAAGTTCTGGAGATATAATAATAGAAATGTATTCATACTGGAACGAATAATTAAACATACTAAATACTAAAACACTGTATGCAGTAATACATTAGACCAGTGTTACCAATGTGGGACCCATGCAATTGTTGGGGGAGGGAGGGGGGAGCAATCAGAAAATGGACTCGTCCAGAGTTTAAGTTACATCGGTGGGGGGGGGATAGGAATTTTAGAAAGGCTTAGGTAGGGCATGGTACACATAAAAAGTTGGGTAAACACTGCACTAGATTGTAACTTTTTTGTATTTTCTTCAGATTATTTAGAATTTGTAGGTACTTATCACAAACCTGCCAAGAGTTCCTTCCCCTCCTAATCATGCCGTGGCCATTCCATTCCCATGGCCTGTTCTATGTTGTGGAGGTGCTTTGAGATGGCTTCGCTCGGTGTTCGCTCACCGTATATAATGTTTGTGAGAGGTTGTGTGGTCATGAGTTATACTCTTTGTGAGAGGTTATGTTGTCATGAGTTATACTGTTTGCGGGAGGCTGTATTGTCATGAGTTATACTGTTTGTGGGAGCTTATATTGTCATTAGTTAAACTGTTTGTGGGAGGTAATGTTGTCATGAATTATACTGTTTGTGAGAGGTTGTGTGGTCATGAGTTATACTGTTTGTGGGAGGTTGTGTTGTCATTAGTTAAGGTTGCGTGGTCATGAGTTATACTGTTTGTGTGAGGTTATGTTGTCATGAGTTATACTGTTTGTGTGAGGTTATGTTTGTCATGAGTTATACTGTTTGTGTGAGGTTATGTTTGTCATGAGTTATACTGTTTGTGTGAGGTTATGTTTGTCATGAGTTATACTGTTTGCAGGAGGCTGTATTGTCATGAGTTATACTGTTTGTGGGAGGTTGTGTGGTCATGAGTTATACTGTTTGTGAGAGGTTGTGTTGTCATGAGTTATACTGTTTGTGTGAGGTTATGTTGTCATGAGTTATACTGTTTGTTTGAGGTTATGTTGTCATGAGTTATACTGTTTGCAAGAGGCTGTATTGTCATGAGTTATACTGTTTGCAAGAGGCTGTATTGTCATGAGTATGTCTAAGGCACCACAGGTGCCTATGTACAAGTAAGAAGTGCTGCAGGGGGAAGCGCTGAAGGCTCGACTGTTCGTGAATATCGAAACTGGGATGTTTATGTATTTCTACCTTCCTTGGTGGTGGCTTTCCCTCTGTAAAAAATAAAACACTGATAATGTACGTAGAAATACAAAAACAGGCCAGTTTCGTTACTCATGAACCATTGCGCAAGTAGCACAATGTGCAAATAAACTCACAATTTAGCAGTGACAACATGAGAGAAGGGAGAAAAGTTTACCGTTAAAAATAAAGAATCAATTAATCCATCCATCCATCCATCCATACATACATACATACATAAGACAAGCACTACAAAGAAGTAACAAACCTCTATAAGATAAGACTAAAAAGAAGTAACAAACCTCTATAAGACAAGCCCTACAAAGAAGTAACAAACCTCTATAAGACAAGCACTACAAAGAAGTAACAAACCTCTCTAAGACAAGCACTACAAAGAAGTAACAAACCTCCATAAGACAAGCACTACAAAGAAGTAACAAACCTCCATGTCTGATAAGAATCTCCAGGACATCATCCATAGCTTGTGATTTACAGTCAGGAGCAACCTGTTGCAGGTTCAAGCAGCTTGTTGGCGAGTGCAGGCTAGTAGTGCTATTCTTCATATTGCCCTGGGAATTCTGTTAGAAAAAAAACATACGATTTCCAACTCTTATGATCAGGTCAGTGACCATCTTCAGGACAAACGCTATTTGCTATATATTTTCAGCATATTATCTCATTGTAATGGTATATGCTTATCAATATGGCACACTCTCATACAGATGGTAAGCTCTCATAAAGACTGTACAATCATGACTGGTATGCTTTATTAAGATTATACACTTTCAGCTAGACAAAACACTATCATCAAGATGGTACATCTTCAGCTAAACAGTACACTTTAATCAAGACAGTTCACTCTCATCCCAATGGTACTCTCATCAAGAAGGTATACTCTCTTCAAGATGGTATACTCTCATCTAGATGGTACACACTCATTGCCCACATACACACCTACCTACCCACACATACACGCACATTTCACATACATTCATACATACATACATACAGATACACACACAGATATTTCCACAAAAACGCAGACACACACACAGATACGCACATCCAGACACACAAAAATGCACAAACACACACAGACACATTCACAGACACACATATGCAGACACACACATACACACACACAGACACACTCGCAGACACACAAACACACACGCAATTGCATACATACACTCACATACACATGCTGATGCTCACGCAGACACATACACACATTCAGGTTCTGGAACAAGACTACAGTCCATAGGTGGATCAACAGCCAGAACTTTTCCACCAGAATTTACAGCCAGTAAACGCAAAGAAGAAGAGGATTCCAGAAATACAATAATACTTACCATCTGCTGCTGTTTCTGCCTGATAGCTTCATGGTAATAAGGTGGCTCTTTCAGTTGTCCACTGATGTAAGGAGCAGAAGAACAACGATGAATATTCAGTTTTTGTTGGTTTGTGTCCAGTGACGATGGCGGCACTGATGTTGTTCTATGACGGGAAAATAAAAGCAGTGCCAACAAAACAGTACTGTTAATGTGCTAAACTTAACAAACAAAAATAAAAAATAAAAACGGTATACTCTTTAAAGCTGGTAAACCACCTGTCTTTGTATATAATTTAGAACTGGTTCTGGGCTGGTTTTTTTTTTATCTTTTGACCTCATTCCTGATTTTATCTTTCTTGTCACTCCTGCAGCCCATAAAATGTTGGCCTATGAGTTTATTTATTGTGACTGAAAAAGCCATAATTTCTTGTGTACAAACACATCCAAATACCATCCAGAAATACAATGCAAAGAAAAAAAAAAAGATAAAATGCCACCATACCTAGATACAATACCACTTTTGTAATCTGGTGGTGCATCAGTGGTAGGAAGATCTGTAAACACCATGGCTTGATCGTCTGACCTCTGTGACTTTGATGTTGATGGACCTGTAAGTAAGTGTATGTTTTAAAAAAAAAGTCAATAAAACACATTAATTATTTCATACCTTTATAATACACACCATCTTTTACAGTTGAAAAACAAAATAAAAACTAAGCACTAATATAAAAATAAGCTAGCCGCCATCACCTCCATAGGAATGCAGGTTACACATGGTTAGTGTAATCATTATGAGTGCCCTAATTATAACATCTTTGGAGCTAAACAGGGTATCTGGGACCTGCCTTATTGGTCTGCCATTTTTAAAATTTCAGGGTGGTTTGGTAAACCTTTAGTTCAGAGGGGACAAGTCAATTGATCAAGCTATCATGCGGATCGCCTGAAAACAACAAAGCTGTTCTAGCAGGTTCAGGAGAAACCAGTCAAAGGACATAAAAGTATCAATTACTAGTGTTCTAGACCGTAGCTGGATGAGACAAATGGTCTCAAAGGTATGAAAGGAAGCTATGCTTATACGTCTTTGGACAATTACTGAAACACACGATCAATATCGGACTAAAGTAGAATCTAGAGAAAAAAATTGTCCCTCTCCTCCACAACAAGAAGTATTCAGAAAGTATATACATCAATTTAGGATCGAATAACAAAGAGGAAAAAAAAGAATTCACAAGCATTCAAAGTAGATTTAGAAAAAGCATTGAATAAAGTATAGAACGAGGAAGTAAAGATCAAATAACACATAGCTCAGGAAACAGAGAATGCATTCTAAGAGATAAAGAACATGCAAGCAAGATAAGTAGATTTATAACAAGAGTTTGAGCAAGTATGGAAGAAGGGACTGAAAATAAAATTGCAACAACAACAACATGCAGGTGCTTGTTAAGATGTGTCAGTTGGATTAATTAAAACAAAATGGCTAGTACAGATCAACACTGGAAACATTCATCGAAGATGGTAAATTAGATAAAGAATGTAATATTCGATGCAGTAAGGCAAATCGAGTATTAGGTCACTCACAACAAGCCAGAAAAAAAAATTTGTAACCATAGAAATGAGATGTCTGAGAAGGGCTGAAGGGGTGGCCAGAAGGGATCAAATCAGGAATGAGGTCATAAGAGAAAAAGTCAGCACAGATCCACTTCTAAATTAAATACAAAGACAGCAAATCAAATGGTTTATCCACTTAGAATGGTTTGTGACACCATACAGTACAGGGCATACACAAATAGAAGAGATGGAGGAAAAGCATGTGGTAGACACAAACTAGATGGAAAGATAACAACAGAAAATCTCTATAACAGCACTATGTGTTTATGGTCAAAGCAGCAAGAAGAGCAAAAGGCAGAACCTTTTATCTCCCTGCAGCACCTGGAGCAGTAAAAGAGCAAGTTGAGAAGAAGAAGAAGAAAAGTAAAGGTTGCTGAGAAGAAAACAACATCCTAAAAATACTAAAACAGAAATCAGTGCGAAGAACAAATGCCTCTTTTTCACAGGAAAGTAAAAATACAAGGTGACCAACAAAACCCAATCTTGATGGCCTTATCAGAAACATATGAAAGGTATATTAGCAGTTGTAGCAGAATTAAACAAAGCAATTGTTAGAAGCTTGCATGCACTCTCGGGAGGTGGCTAGCAATTCTGCAGAGAGAGACTGAGCCTTACAGGATAACTTGGTAATATGAAGCTGATTTCTCATCTTTAACTTTAACACTTATTGGGCCGGTTTAATTTGACCATGCCTCATACAATATTAACGACAACCACCCCATCAAACAAAAAAACCTACGATATACATAAAACAGTTACACTACAGTGATCAAACCTGATAAAACAGTGGGTGGCGGTTGCCCAGAAGGATCATTGAAACCAAGAGATACTGGTTCACGCTGGTGCTGCATAACAGGAGATGGTTGCTGTTGTTGCTGCTGCATATGAGGGAAATGAAAGGGTGACTCTCAAAGTTGTGTGTGTTTCTTCATTCTAACATCATATTGTAGCAATATAAAAAAAGAATCATTTGTTGGGATCTTCTTCTTCGTGTTCATTGGCTGTAAACTCTGGTGATAACTTTTGGTTTTTCGTTCACTTCTGGACTTAATGTTTGTTCCAGAGCTTGAGTTTTGCATGCACATCCACTTTTTTTTATCTGCCTCATTTGTAAACAGACTGCTGATTCCTTTCCTCTCAGACAGATGAACTCCGACTTCAAAGGAAAACACCCCTAATTATTTGACTTTTATGACATGCTTATTAGGGGGTCGTGGGTCTATTATTCCACACCCCCCTCCCCAAATGGGGACCCTGGAACCCACAAACAGGACACGCTGGGATAATACAGAAGAATTCACAATCAATGGCATTAAGAAACGCTTTAGCATTCTAAACTAATTTTTGACCTACATATTCCTTTGAAAAGGTGTTTAAAAAACTAAAAAACTTTTGCAATATAATTTATAGAATGTTGGAATCCAACACCATTATTTGTTAGCTGTTTGTAGTTTTACTAAGCATGATTCTAGGTAATCAACCAATACAATTTAGCAAATACTAATTAACATAAACCGCTGTGGTGTAGCAGCTAGACAATCACCTACCAGACTTGAAGTTTAGAATTCAAATTCACATCAAGCAGTTTTCTATTATACAACAGGCTTCGCTCCCAGACCGACCCAGCCTAAAACTGGTATCAAGTAGTGTTCTGGGAAGTAATGGTGGCTAGAATGATGGTGACCACATCACCCATCGAGTGAAGATTCGACTATAAAAATACAGGTACTGTATAATATTTATAAGTATGCATTTCAGAGGTTTCCGTGGCAAAGTGATCAAGGTAACGCTTCGCACACTGAAGGTTATGGGTTCGTTTCATGGCTAAGTCATTCAGTTCACGAGTGCAATTTTTACGGAGATCCTTGGCAGCTAAGAAGTTCCTGCTCTGCACCAAGCTCTAGGCAAGAGACTAGATGTTCTGCGATGAGACTAAGCCATATGGGATAGAAACTGGTGCAACGAAGTCGATCCTCTTGACTTGAGCCTTTTTAATAATATATAGTATGGCACTATATATGCTGGAGGCACCAAAAGCATGAGAAGTGTCCATTACTTGTTACTTACTAACACAGTGCGGCAGTCTTGCTACAGCTAGTGTAGAAAAATCCATAAAAGTCAGTTTACAGCATAGACAACAAAAGTTTATAATAAAGTTAGTTGCGTATCCTTTGCGTGTACTATAACACTGCAGAACCAACACCAGCATTGTTTGGCTGCTGTGGTTTTTATAGGCAAATTTTACTTTCAGTTATTTGCCACTACCACTGAACAGTCAGCTCTCCATACCACTGTCGAACCAACGCAATACAAATTGTCCGCAGCTGGGATCAAACCTGGCACTCTAGCATTATGATGCGGGTTCGCAAGGCCTTAGCCACAGATGCCAACAATAAAGACTATGAAAATAAACTCACTTGCGCAAAATCGGATGGCATATGAACCTGCATCAGCTGCTGTTCATGATGCTGCTGATTTAACTCCAGCCTTTGGTGCGATTCTTGCAACTGTCTCTGTAGTTCTTCAATCTGTTTTGCTTGAGCCAAAACCATGTGGTCGCTTTCTGTCAACTGAACAGATGAAGACGGTGATTGCTCTTGGAATATTTGATGTGGAAACTGCTGCTGCTGTGTCTGCGTCTGCTGCATAAGCTGTTGTTGTAGATGCTGCAGCATATGCAACTGCTGAAGCTGCTGCAATTGAAGAACCGAAGCCGATGATGTTACCTAGAAAGTTAAAGTTAGTAATATGTAATATACTGGATTGCAGAGTTGAGATAAAGTTACAAATAAGTAGACCACTCACTTCTTCTTCTTCACTTCCTCTTTTACCGCTGTGGGTGTCGAGGGAGACCACTCACTGCCCAACATAAATTACAGCCAGTAGAAGACTGTTTAAATTAACCACTATAAGAGAAATTATAACATGGGATGAGAGCCACACCACAGAACAAATATGTTATTATTAAAAAAAACCGGCTCGCTAGCGTAGTTGGCTAAACCTGACTTCGCTACGACCGCGTGACGAACTCCTTGTAGTCCGGGCTCAAGACTGGGGGTAAGCAGAAAAGCTACATTTCTCCCAGATTTATGGTATTTATCATGGAATCAAAGCCAAAGGGTTGCGATGTCCATAGTACTGAGCCAAAGGGTTAAGAACTCTTGGTTTCTGGATTTTAAAAAAAAATTTTAATTTAAAAAAAAATCATTGTCAAAGGCAAAAGATGGCCAACAGAAGGCTGTTTGAATTAACTAAAGTAAACCCTAGCTAACACAAACTTGAAGGGATAGGAAAAAGAGTTTGTGAGAAACAAAATCTGCGCTAACCGGGGACTTAAATGTCAGTGTTGCCTTTGGAAAGGCAAAAATCTATACCATCTCCATGTTTCCTCTTGTATTTTGGATATACTGAACATGAAATGATATAGTTCCAAGGGACAGAAAGAGTTCCTGTTATACAAAATCTGTGCAAACCGTGGACTGAAATTTCAGTGTTGCCACTGGAAAGACAAAAGTCAATACTGTCTCCATATTCTTCTCTTGTACTTTGCATATGCTGAGTATAAAACAATATAGTTTTACAACTGATCTTTATCTTCCTAGACAAAATTCTAGCTACCTGTTAAAAGTAGCTGAGTGAAATTTTTCTAGTGTTTGTTATACTTCTGGTTCAATATCTGCCGGAGTTTACAGATAGAGAACAGGAAGACAAAGTATTCACTCTGCCCATGCATAAACTGGGGGAAAAAAAAGAAGTGAGAGCACACAACGCTGGTGTCAAACAGTGAGAGGATCACTTTCACTGCCGCAGGTTTTAACCCAAATGTTGTGAAGGCCCTTTGGTAGTGAGTGATCAGTGCGGAGGCACAAACAGATCATTGTGGTCTGAGGAGAATGGCATTGTGGGAAGTTACTAGGGGATCTGGCTTACGCTTAACACTCAAGGGAAAGGGAAGACGGATGTACAATCAGACAGTTACTAGAACCATCAGAATTGGAACTCTTTGCTTGCTGCTGAAGACAGGGGATGGAGCACTTATGGGAGTGTCCTGACTGCTGTTATGTCGATTCCTAGTTCAAAATTCAACAACCCAAATGGCTCAGTTTCTTTCTGCAGAGTGGCTGTACACCTGTCAAGACTTTCACACAAAGCATGAAACCGCAGCTGTAGTGATGATCCTAAGGAATTTTGCAATATGCGTACTCACGAAACCCAAAAAACGGATTCTGAAACCATACCCATAATTTTATGAATGTTAAGTCACTGGCTTAGCCATTTCACCAATCCCAAAGGCTCGGTCAATCTTCTCAGACAAAAGGTACAAACCACTGTATTTATACTGTGAACTGGACACAACAGACTTCGCAGCCATATGTACAGGATATTCAAGATTGGGGACTCAGAACTTTGCCGATATGGACAGGCTCCAAAGAATACTGAACATGTCCTGAATGCATGGTCTCTACATGGAGTAGAGAGATCACAGCTCTGGCCAGTCAGTATTCTGGTAGAAACCCAGCCATTGGATCAGCGGAGGACATGCATCACACCACAGCCTATCACGAAAGACTGACCTTATCTGAAAACCACTGGAATGAAGAACTAATAGAAGAAGCATTACACCATGGAGACCTTTTCCCTCCCCTCCACACCCACCCACACCTCTGATGTAAGCCTGTAGATCTTGCAAGCATGTCCAATCAGTTGCAGTAATATATCAAGGACTCTTTTCCACGCCTTCAAGTGTACTGGGCATATAAGGCTAGACCTATATTTTATAAATCGATCAGAACTCAGTAGGTAATGTGGTCAGCATCATGTCAGTCGCCTTTACTTTCTAAGACTGTATCTGGTACCAACTCAAGGCTGGGCTGACCTGGGAGTCAAGGTCATTTCCAAAAGAAGTCGGGCTCTATCAGAACCTGAATTCACGACCTTCCGATCCGCAGGTGATATATATTTACATCAAATGTTAATCTTCATGTTAAAAACTATTTAATGATCTGTATTTTAAGTAACAACAGTAAAGCTGAAGGGAAATAGAAGCAGGTGGATATCTTCTTCGTGTTGATCGCCAGCAGAAAGTTCAAGTTGTTCATCCACTTCTGGACCTGTCTTGTTTCAAAACTTGAGTTTTCTGTGCATATCTGTTATATATCTATATCTGGTTAATTTGAAAGCAGACTGCTGGTTCCTCCCCTCTCAGGCAGAAGCACTCTGACTCAGAAGGAAACACTCCTAATTAATTGGTCGACTTTTACAACACGTTTGTTAGGCGCGCAGAAGGTCTATTAATTTCACTTCTCCAAAATGGAGCCCCGAAACACACACAGGGAAGATGGAGATCAAGAAGAATTATGGAAGGACATCATTATCAGAAATTTTAAGAGTGAAGATTGTCCAGAGACATGATGACCAACACCATTTATGGCCTATACGAACTTACAGTGTGATCACATGGAGCTGCCAGCTGAGCCTGGGACATGTGTGTGGACACCTGAGGTGGAACAGGCACTCCAGCAGTTGCAGAATGTGCTGTTACATCATCAACTGTAGTTTTAAATCCTAGAGGCTCAGTATTGTGATTACTGATTTTGAGAGCTGGATCTGCACTGGAGCCAAGGCGGATGATCCTGCTTGTTGATGGACTTGTATTTGGATTCATGTTACTTTCTTTAATGACAACACTATCATCAAGACCTGTATCCATGCTGGCAGAATGGTTGTTCATGGGAACACTGCTGACATACTGGTGAAATAGTGGTGGTAAATCACGATCCACTTCCATCTGCATCATCCCAGCAGATGTTGGCTGTGAAGTCTCTGTAGTCACTGAAGCTAATGCTTGGGGATTCAAAGTCTCAGAAACACTGTCCTGTTCACCATAAGGAAACGTTTTTTGGGTTGCATCTGCAAATCTAAGGTTTTTGGAACTGGGGACAGCTGGTTTCAACAGCGCTGGTGCCGAACTGACTTTGTGCACTGGACTGATGATAGTTTTTACAGTGCCAGAATTGGTGGTCATCAAAGTTTGAGGAGAACTTGGTAAAGAAATGGTTGTAGAGGTTACTAACTCATCTTTAATAAATGGTTTGACACTAACAATTGTTCTATCCTGTTTTGTGGCCCTAGACAGCAGTGAAAAACTAGGAGCCGATCTGCTACTACTGTTCTGAGATGAGGTGTTCACAAAAGATGCAGCTGGTGCTGAAGTATTAGACTGTGTAATGGAAACAACATTGGCGTAACTGTTACTTGGTGCACTGGCAACCGGTGCCTGACTGAACTGCAGAGGTGTAGACATACGTGATGATGGTCTTGAGTCTGACTTGGGGATAATAGACACTGGTGAAGAAGGCATGCTACTACTGGAGTCTGTGAAAGGTTTAAGACGTTCTATAAGTTGTGGTTTTGACCCTGAAACTGGCAAAGAGCGTTTTTTCAGTTCTGCCTTCAAATCTGCAACTTTCATCTCCTCTAGATTGCCAGTTAACTTGGGTACACTCAAAGCACCTGCTGGTATTGAGGTGAGTGCCTTGGCAGTCTGTCTTGGGGCTGATTGTGTAGGACGTGTTTGTGGCAAAATAAGAGATGCTTGGCTTGTTGAAACTGTTTGTGCATTCAAAATCTGGCCGGTTGAAGTCTGAGCTGTGGTCATAGGCGACACAGCTATTTTGCTAATAATTGGCTGAGGGTCCAGGTTTGTGTCGTAAATTTGAGGCTCGTGAAAAGATATTGTCTGTACCAAAGCTGTATTGCCAGCAAGGATCGGCTGGGTCACAGGTGGTGACATTACAACAACTGACTTCATACCTGATGATGCTAAGTTTTGATCTGTTTGTGCTCCAGGTACCAAGGTTGAACTCTGCTGTTGCTGCATTTGCTGAAACTGCAACTGCAGCTGCAAAAACAGCTGCTGCTGCTGCAACATAATATTATAAGGTGTGTCTCCGTCGGAATTGCTGCTGCTTGATGCAGGTGTATTTGATGGCTGGTTCTTCACAGCTGAGGGTGGACCTTTGTATTCATGGAACTTGATAATTCTCGACTTGGGAACAACTTTGGGTTTTGGTTTCTTAATGCGAGACTTGCTGCCACTGTTGTTATTATTACTGCTGCTGTTATTATTATTATCAAGTGAAATAAAAGCTATGCTGCTGGTCCCAGGGTGGTTGCTTAGAACTTCAGCCGCGGAACCAGGTGGAGACATAGTGGAAACTATAAATGGAATCTGAGGGCAGACAGTGGCTGGTACTGTTATGTTGTTAGCTGATGTAGAAGAAACAGGGAGACACTCATCATGGGGTACTGGACTTGGGCTACTAACAACATAGAGTGCTGATGATTCATCAAATGACGGACATTGAATACCACCACTTCCACTACCGTCAACAAATGTAAAGGATGGACCAGACTGGTCCATGTCTTCGGTATCACTTGTTGACATAAACTGAACTGATCCATCTGAGAATAAAAGAAACACTTGAATAATATGATATTTATTCAATAACCTGAATTTATAAAAAAATATGTATCTAGTATCATATGCCCAATAGGCCAATGACATGAAAAGGTCATGTAATTTTTAACTATATGTATTATTAACAATATATGAGATTTAATGACACAAAATTTTTTTAGAATATTAACAAATTACACAAACAAATCAATAACAGAAAGCTCACCTCTGATTGCGTTAACCAGTTCAAGCGAAGGTTGCAGAATATTTTCTTGTACTAATTCCAAGGGTCCTGGTCTGTGGGACAACTTATCATTGAGGTCATCCAGCAGACGGGACCGTTTCAGTAACCTCTGCCTTTCATGTAAGGATGGATCTATATTTGTATCTGTGAACAGAGACAAAGACAAGCTGACCGACTAATAAACCAATTATACCAATGAAAAAAATATTAATAAAGCTTCTTCTTCTCTGCACTCACTGACAGAAACTCAGGCAGAAGAGTTCTTGTTGTTCATCTACTTCTAGACCTTGGCTTTGTCCCAGAAGAACTGACTTATTTGTATGCAGACTGTTGGTTCCTCATCTCTCCGGCAGATGCACTCTGACTTTGAAGGATACACTCTAAACAGGTGACTGTTACAACAGGCTCATTTGGGAGGTGGGGGTGAGGGGTCTCAGGGGGTCTATTTTTAGACCCCAAAATGGGACCCTGGAATCCACACAGGGATAATAAAGCTTATACTACAATTTATTGCTCAAAGCTGTTATATACTTTAGACTAATAGTGATCTAAAGTCATATAAAAGGAGTTATCAATAAATACAAAGTGAAGCATTAAATGGAACACATTCCCTAGAGCCTAAAAATATGTATCGAGTTACTTACGCCATGACCCTGTGACCTCTATCAATGAGGTTTACTGGAAAATTTGAGGTCAACCTGGCTTTTTGAAAAACTATTTGATTTACAAGGAAACCCTCCTAAATGCTATTTTTAGAAACTATATCCACATCCTGATCCCCTAAATGTTTGTTCAGGTTCAAACTCAGCATTCACTATGCATCTCATAAACAGGCAAGTCTAGACAAGTTAGAAAAGTTACATTTATGCAGAGCAGGACACAACTGAATGTATTGGTTTCATGGATTCTTGAGGCAAAAAGGGTTAAAATATTAACCTCAATCTTCCAGAGGATTCACACTCAAGTAATTATCAGTCTAAATTGTTTTTCTTTATTAAAGAAAATCTCATGAATTTTAAAACAGTCTTAAAATGTAACTTCTCAACTGGGTTTACACATAAAAAATAAATTAGCCCAGTAAAAATTCTGACCCCAGCAGACGAATGATACGTTAAAGAAGTTAAATATAGAAAAGCACAAGCAAAAGCAATATTAATAATATTCTACACAATCTATCTGTCTGCCAAGGGGAGAAAAATGTTTTTAGAGCTGTGCAGAGCCAATCCTGGTGTATGGGAGGAATCACTGGCAGTCTGCCGATTAGTGAACAGTTATGTGGAAGCAGCAGAGATATGGTTATTACTGACTTATAGGGTCTTTAAAAAAAAATAAATTCTTGAAGAGAAATGTTTATCAACATCAGACGGACATAATGTCTATTTTTTTGGTAAGATTGTGAGAGCAGACAACCTAGAGTATATCATGAAAATGGGAAAGTTGACGAGAAAATGAGACAGAAGAAGACACACACAAAATGAGATGCTGGAAAGTTTTGTATCATGGCAGGCACAGAGCAGGTCTATTCAACTAAGATGACTCAGGGGCAACAATTTTGAAAATGGGGATCGTCGTGGGCCAGAGGATTCAGCCCCAGCACTGAAAGATCATTGATTTAATACATCCGGCAGTGATCCGTGGGCTACTTGCCAGGCCAACTCAAGAAAGATCTGGTCCACGGGCTGCTCGTTGAATAGCCCTGGCATAAAGAACGTCGGTGTCCGACTTGACTGAAAGTACATGAGGCAGAAAGCTGTGGACAGACAGATTACCAATGCCACATAAAATAGGCTTTACCAGGGCTATTTAACTGGTGGCCCGCGGGCCAAATCTAAATATATTTATGATCTTCCTATGCCTCTTTCTGCTCAGGCTTCAGGCCCGTGATGATCATAATTTTTTAAACTGTGGCCCTTGAGTAAACATAGCTGAATAGCCCTGAGCTATACAATAGAAGGGAAAACTGTACAGATGATCATGAAATAGAGAAATACATGAGTAAATGCTCAAAAGAGAGTCAGATGAGCAGATGAATAATTTATTTACTTATTTATTCATTGCCTCTGACAGACACTCACCTTCTTCTTCTTCTCCTTTGAGTTCACCAGCAGTAAACTCTGGAATTCTGGACTTTAATCTTGTGCACATCTGTTTAACAGATCTGGCTTATTTGTAAGCAAACTGTACCTCACCTCTCAGACAGATGCACTCCGACTTTGAAAGAAACTCCCTAGACAGTTGACATTTATGACATGCCTGTTACAGGGCAGTGGGTCTATTTATGTCTTCATCAAAATGAGGCCCTGGAACCCACATGAGAAACACTCACCTTCAAGAATGTGCTGTTGCACAAGCAATTGCCTGTTTGGTCTTTGCTGGATTTTGTGGCGCAGCAAATCGCCTGTCTGAAAATAAGTTTTTTATAATCATGAAAATAAAGTGCAATAGATAGTTTCTGTCTCTCTGCATCAGTATTTTAAAAATGACAGGCCAAAAAAAAATGCATCTCTGTAGGTGCCAATTTCCAAATTGTCACATATACTATAGATAATATTAAACAGCATGGATTCTTCTTCTTTTTTTTTTTTGCATTCATCAGCTGTAAACTCCAGCAGAAAGTTCTAATTTTTCATTCACTTTTGGACTCTAGTCCTGAGTATTGCATGTAAAAAAAAAAAAAGTAAAGTAAAGATCCCTTTTCACGCCTTTCGGCTCATCGGGCATATGGGCAGAGCGTCCAATATTTTTACAGACCATCAGCACTGTGGGTAATGTAGTATTGCATGTACATCTGTTTTACACATCTAACTCATATGCAGACTGCTGGTTCTTTGCCTCTCAGACCTTTGCACTCTGACTTCAAATGAAGCTCCCAATTAGTCGACTCTTACGATATGCTTTTGGGTAGGCAGTGGGTCTATTCTTGTTTTTCCCACAGTGGTGCCCCAGGATCCCCACACAGAGAGGTGTGGATTCAATAATGTGATCATTTCTGCAATTCATTATGGTAACTCACTATCGATTTATGTTAGTGCAGTTTTGTTCATTAATGTGTACAGAGTCCAGTCCAGACACTTTGCCATTTCTCGTGAGTGTTAATTACAGGAATCTTTCATATACCCTCAATACTTATTCCATGTCGGACTCCTGCAGAGTGTTCTTAGTGTACCAACATTTTCTTTCTCTTATAACCTGTTGATACCAAAAGAAGCACAGTCGTACATACATTTCTATGATTTCTTCATGTTTCTTCAACACATCATATTCAGACCAATTTCCTCAGGGATTTGTTTTCAAATGCATTTAACTTTTGTTCCACATTTTAAGTATTTCTACAACTTATACTGTTGGATGTTAGAATCAAATTGATGTTATAATTAACAATATGTAAGTTGGTATTATTTAGTCTAACCAAGGACTAACTGTACAGTTATTGCATAACATTAGTCTGTAAGCTGTGTGATGACTTATGTCAATGATTAAGTGAGACTGGCTTCCAGTAACAATGATGAAGTGCGAGGCTGTTTGACATTAACAATGACTGAGGCTCATTCAAAATAATAACCGAATAACTAGCTACACTAACAATTACTGAGGCTCATTAAAAATAATAACCGAATAGCTAGCTAACAGTAACAATGACTGAGGCTCATTAAAAATAATAACAGAATAACTAGCTACACTAACAATGACTGAGGCTCATTAAAAATAATAACCAAATAACTAGTTACACTAACAATTACTGAGGCTTATTAAAAATAATAACCGAATAGCTAGCCAACAGTAACAATGACTGAGGCTCATAAAAAAAATGTTACAGATAACAATAGCTAACAGTAATTATGACTAGAGGACCTAACTGTATGGTTAACTTATAACATTTGTCTGTAAGCTGTATAATGACTTATGTCAATGATTAAGTGAGACGGACTACCAGTAACAATGATGAAATGTAAGGCTGTTTGACAATAACAATGACTGAGGCTCATCACAAATAATTACCAAATAACTAGCTAACAGTAACAATGACTGAGGCTCATTAAAATAATAATGGAATAACTAGCTACAGTAACAATGACTGAAACACTTATGAACAATAACAATGATTAAGAAATTGATTAAAAATAATACTGACTGAGTCTGATCATGAATAACAATTACTAGGCTCAGGGTGAAAAATACAACCGTTAGCTAGCTAACAGACTGACAGAGGTGAATAAAAAAATTACTGAAAATAACTGATTAAAAATAATAACTGAGAAGCTGATTAAAAATAATAATGACTCAAAGGCTGATTGACAGCAACAATGACAGCAGGCTGTTTATGAATAACAACCCTGACAGGCTGATTAATAATAACAAAAATGAGAGGACGATTGACAGTAACAATGACTGAAATGTTGTTTAACAGTACCAATCAAATTCATAAAAAAGAAATAAGAACTCACTAGCTAACAGTAACAAGACAGAGGCTCATCTTGTCAGCAAACGCTGGAGGAGTTTTTAATAACAATGCAAACAAAAAAGAAAATAACTAGCTATGGTAACAATTTACACTGCTCTTTACCACTTTATTAAAATGTATACAATGCATTTCAATAACAGTAAAGGAAAAAATCAAAGCTTTTTAATACAAATGTAAATATATTCTTTAAAAATGTGGATCAAAATAAGATAAACAAAAATACTGAGTCTACAAGATCTAATTATGAAAGAAAATTAGGTCTAAACAGTATTATGTTTCAGAAATTAAAGACTTCCACATCAAACTCACAGCAGTTTAGAAAAAACAAGAGAGAAGGGCAGGGTTCTTGGAAGACTGGGTAGGGGCTGACAAACAGATAGATGGGCACTGTAATGTTGTGAATTCCCGGAGAAATCCCAGAGAGTTCCAGAAAAAAAATACAAGGTCAGAGGACCAGTGATTTTACAGGGAAATGACTGGCAAGCTGGTCTCGAATAACAACCCTGACAGGCTGATGGAAAATAGGGATACGAGGAAAGTTGAGACTGGAATGAAGACCTGAAATGTTATTTAACAGTACCAATTACAAATCTAAAGTTTGGAACCTCACTTGTGTTCGGTCCAACTGCCTAGAACACCTTGTAAGAAAGAACGCTATGAGGACGTTTTTTGTTCCAAAGCAACAAAGATAAATAAATCCTGATGCCAGTTTTATTTATACTAATACCAGGTACAACTACGTTAGTATGATTCAATGTATGATCCGACAACTACGTAAAGGAGAAAATCAAAGCTTTTCAATATAAATGTAGATGTATTCTAAAAAAATTTGGATCAAAAAGAGTGACAACAAAATACGGACATTCTACAAGATTTATCTAATCATGAAAGAAAATTAGGTCATAAACAGTATTATGTTTCAGAAATTAAAAACTTCCACATCAAACTCACTACAGTTTAGAAAGAACAATAAAGACGGGCAGGGTTCTTGAAAGACTGGGTAGAGGCTAATCAACAGATAGATGGGCACAGGATTTAAAGACATCTTGGGCAAAAAATTGCATGATGCAGGGGAACTGTCGAAAGAATCAAGAATCAACTGAGAGCAATGTTCTGCAAAAGGACTTGCTACACAATGATGACGATGGCTGGTGGTTAGTTTCAAAGTAGCTGGCCCCTTTTACACCAGTGGCGCATCTGGTATATGATGCTATACTCATATTTTCTTGACCAACTGGCACTCTATGGGTGATGTGGCCATTATTTAACGGGTCCTCTTTACTTTCCAGGACTTTACCTGCTTTCCCTTTCTGGTTTTTTTCAGTTCACTTTTCATCTGTAAATTTTTCAATCCTCCAGTCATCATTGTTGCGATAACATATCTCTTCTTCTTCATTCATCTTCTTCACATTCACCAGCTGTAAACTGCAGTGAAAAGTCCTGGTTTGTTCGCCCACTTCTAGACTTTAATCTTGTTCCAGAAAGTGGGTTTTTGCTTGCACACCCATTTTACAGATCTGGCTTATTTGTATGAAGACTGTTGGTTCATTGCCTCTCAGGCAGATGCATTCCAACTTAGAAAGAAACATCCCTAATTAGTCCCCTTTTACCAAATGCTTGTTCGGGGGCAGTGGGTCTATTCTTTGTTCTTCGAAATGGAGCCCCAGAACTTACATGGGGAATAACAAAAAGCCAAACATGTTATCTCATATTTACTCACTGCCCATGTTTGAGAATCCACTAATATGACTAACAGTTAAGGAAACTGGCAACTTCTCCTTAATATGCTTAAGGCCTTGTGAGTCAGCCACTATTACCATTCAAAAATCAGAAAACTTCTATACAGAAACATGAACTCTATTTCAGCGAGATTAATTAAGTAAAATTCTAATCAGTTGTCTTTTACTATGCTTGTTACAGGGCTGTGAATCCATTCTTTTTTTTTTCCACCCCAAAATGGAGCTCTGGAACACACACAGAGATTTATTACACCAATTTGTTTTCCTTTTACTTTAAGGTCTAATTTGAATCAACACACACTCTTTTGTCATAGTCATCTATGGTTTGCATTAAAATGTCCCGGAGATGCACTAACCCTTGACACATAAGAAAAGGCAAATGTATACTAACATGGATAGATGCCCTGATCCACCAGTTCAGTGACAGATCTCCTCAGCATCAACTTTCTCTTGAGAGCTAGGAAAAAAATAAAATCATCGACAATCATCTGAAATAACTGTTAAATTTAAATGTCCACACATGAGAAACTGTAAACACTGGTATAAAACAATAAACTTCTTACACAAACATATTTTATTTCTATTCTGGCCATACAATTAGATATTTCTTACTCATAGTTTTATAAATTTTGTTCTTAATTAGTTAGTTAGTTGCACGCCTCTTCAAGGTTTTTTGCAAATCAATCAGAAGCTGTCTCCAAACTGAAGCCTGGCTGCAGTGGATCTCCACTAAGCTCTATCTTTAACCTTTGGATGTATACTGTTTGTCCAACTCTTGATGTTAACCTCCCATTTCAATCGCTATCTGCCATTTGCTCAATTGCCTTTAACTTTGCCCCTAGTATGGTTTTTTTAAGAGTGTTATGACTTTAAATATGGCCAAAATATTTCATTGGTTTCTTTTTTCGTTTTCGTCACCAACTCTTTTTTAATTCCTAATCTTCTCAGAAGCTCTGTATTTATTGGCTGTTTGTAATTTTACTAGGCAATTCTACTTTCAATGATCTGTCACTGTTTTCTGAATGATAGACACTTAAACTATTTGTTTTCAAAATCAATGTAAACTGTGAACCTGTGTTCACAACTGCTAAACCATAGATGTCAACAGTTGTAGGTAGGTTCTCTAATTTAGACATGTTCTTATTATAGCAGCCTTATGAGCTTGATCTTGCAATTATCCAGGGCTGACAGATTTTTTGTTTTGTTTACATGTACAGAGCATATTTGGGACCTCCTATATTTAGCCTTTATCAAAGGAAACTGAGATATATAATCCACTACCCAAAGATATGGCAGAATTGAGCAATCAGCAGGTGTTTCTGATATGCTGTAATTTAATCGCATAAATCCGTCATCCGATTCATCAAGGGAGTCGCGGTGGTGTAGCGGCTAGACGTTCACCTGTGGATCGGAAGGGTGTAGGTTCGGGTTCTGACAGAATCGGAATCTGGAGATAAGAATAGGTTGTACCTCACGGAACAAAAATTAATCAAACACAGAGGTTCTGAAGGGGTAAAATGACAAGTTGATGAAATTATTTAGTTTCAACAAATTTTTTTTAAAGAGGGAGAGAGACAACTAAAAACCTGTAAAAAGATGAACAAATCCAACACTCAAGCTACCCGAGAAGCATAAGACAAATACAAAAAACTATGACACTGGGCTACAACCTGGTATCAGTGAGATGACAAACGAAGAAGAAAGAAGTTAGTTAACTAATCGAAAGATTATTCTCATTACACATCCATCAAGTCCATAAGCACTCAGATCCTATTTTCAGTATATCCCTCAGGGTGTGGCGACTGGTAATACCAGTTACGATTTTTCTTTGGCTTCTTGTTCATGTTTGGTGACACCTTTTTTGACCTGAAGTTCTTGTAGTCTTTTGAGTGTTGCTGATTCAACGTCGTCTCCTGAATCATCTTCTCGTCCTGCCTCCTCGAGAGCACTGAGAGTGTCAGCCTGGTCCATTGCTTTTCCTGTACCTACCGTGGCCCTACCAGCAAGCCAATCTGCTCATTTATACCCTCTTACCCCCAAAGTGTGCTGGCACAAAAATGAAACTAATTCCACTTGCACTGTGGCACCACAATGATTCATTGAACAACCATGAGGTGAGTTGCCTGGTACTAAATAAGGTAAAGAACAATATTTTATTGAAAAGAAAAAAGTTAACTAACATTCCCTGTTCTTGTCCATGCATATTGAAGCTTGGTCAGGTGGTGATGTTGGGGTAGGTAATGACAACCCCAGAGAAGTGCTCAAAGAGTTGTCTGTAGAATCCCCAGCCTCACTGTTCTCCATCACGGTGCCTGTATCAATCTACAGCTGAATCTGAACACAATTTTCGTGTATGCAATGTAAAAAGTTCCCAGCTTTTACATCTAAGAAGATGAATTCTATTTTTTTAGCATATGGGTGGAAACTGGTTACAGCTGCTGCTCAAAAACCTGTGGAAGCACAGTAAAGATGTCATGTTAGACACACAAACTCTTGTGTAATGCACAACTCAAAAGCAATAAATTTAAACTACAATACACAGAAAATAAATGGTCTGTTTAAATTGTTACAATTAATATAAAATACATGTTAAAATAAATAATGACACCAACGGTCCGCACAGAAATAATCCTTTCCTTGCCTCTGAGACAGATGTACTCCGATTTTAAAGGAATCCTCTAATTGGTTAACTCTTATGACATGCTTAGTTCAGCTCAGCTGATTCAAGAATCGACATAACAGCCATTGGAGATTCCCATAAGTGCTTTGTCCCCATCTTCAGCTGCCAACAAAGAGTTCCAATAGCAATGGTGCCAGAAGCAGTCTGATTATACGTCCGCCTTGTATTTCCTCTTAGCATCGAGTTACAGCCAGCCTCTCATCACTCCCCGCTGCCTCACTCTCACCAGAATTGATAATGAACAGTCTGTCCCAAATTGTAGATGTGCTCCCATAAGGTCCTAACCACAGTTGCCTTATCATGCATCAAAATTCCAAAAAGTTGTGCAGAGCCAGCTAATCTGTCTGCCTGTTTACTTCCAAAAACACCTTCATACACAGAGAAAAAAAAATCCAGACAATGCTCTTCACTCTTGATTTTCAAAGCGAAGCATGCCACTCTGCACGAAGCTTGCCTGTCCTCAGCATGCTTTCTGAGTCAGTTAAAGCTATCATTAGTGTGTTTGTGTGTGTATTATGTTCTCTAGCCAGCAGAAAGCTGCAGTGACTGCCTCCACCTCCATTCTTAAGATTTGTGGTATCATATGTTAGGCTCTCCTGCTCCAAATGTCAACCATTAGCTTTTGCTCAGAACCCACAGGTACTTCTTTTGCCTCTTGACACTAACCACCTGTATAAATAATCACACACCCGAGCAAGTATTATCCTGAATTAACTGTTGATTTTCCACCTTAGTGGCACCTGCTGGCCATTTCCTGCACACCTGGCTCAATGTGATTATGACTCTACACAGGTCTGACTGTTTCTCTAGCACTCTGACCCACTCTCTCCTCGACTAATGCTCTCCTGGATGCAAACCTGTCTGATCGTGTCCTCCACCTGAGCCATCCATGACTTCCCTATTATCAACCACAGACCCTAACTGTATCCAGCACTTTGTGCAAAGAGTGATCTGTGTATGCAGCTACTGTGAAGTATGACTTCGCCTGAAGCATCTTGAGCTTACCTGCAACTGTCAGCAAACCAAGGATGTATCACATACCACTAGTGGAGTGTTGCTATTACATCAAAAAATGACACACATAGCTGTGTTCAATATGCGCTCTAGTTTAACCTATTGGCTCTTTTAGACAGTGAGCAGTCCTGGTCCATAATCAATTACTGAGGACCAAGTGCTGATATAGTGTGAAAAGCATTGTCTGCTCTATTACCATTGCTGCCATAGTTTTAAGTGCATTAAGTCTCTTTTAGTATCTTGTAACAACCATCTCCATCCCCATGGTCCTTGAAGGACAGGTTCTTGCAAAATGTGATTCCCAGATACTTCGGTTTGCTCTGTCTGTTGACATTTCTACCATCTATCGTGAGACCTGGGACATCGGCTCTAATAATACTGCTGTCTACAGTACACCAAAAAACAGACACCTTTTTATTGGTGGATGACAGCACCTATTTCTGTACACGAGTCAATGACTTTGTCTACTGTCGCTCATATCTCCTCGGCTGTTTGTTACCTATCCTCCCTCTCCCCAGCCTATATGCAAGAATTTCATTTGCAAATTTCAGTATCCTTCCAACCATGGGGCTTCTAGGCTTGCAATCGTGCACATATACATGTTAAAGAGCACAGGCGAGATCTCAGATTCCCGTGGCAGTTCCAAGGCTATGATACGTGGTTCTGAGGTCCATGAACATGCTTAATAGAGAAGCAGTGGGACCATTCTTGTTTTCTCCCACACTGTGGCTCCCGAACCCAAAAGGGGATATATGCACATGAGAGCCCTGCATTTTTAACTATTTGACCAGCCACTCCTCACTTCTTAATTTACAAAAGTTAAATGTTATCAGAAAAATCATGGTCTCTATTCAACATTTTTGTCTGACTAATAAATATGCCTGCGCAGAATAGAGGGAATTAAAAAGTATGATAGAATCACTAATGTAGAGCTCTAGGAGAGAACTAAGCAAGCTCCAGTGGACCAAGAGGTGAAGAAAAGATGCTGGCGTTGGATAGGACATACATTGAGAAAACCTGAGAACAATATAACTAGAATGCCTTTGCACTGGAACCCCCAGGGGCATAAGAATAAAGGTAGACCAAAAGACACATGGAGAAGGGAGCTGGAGAATGAAATTAGAAAGTTGGGGAGGACATGGGTAGAGCTGCATGTGATAGCAAAAGATAGAACGACTCGGTGAGAGTTTGTTGAGGGCCTATGCTACATAGGGGGCTGGAAAGGCAGAAGAAAACAATAAGAATAAACCAGAAATACATATATACCTTTTACTGATCCAGTCACAAAGCCCAAATAAAATGGTTTATTGTTTAGATAAGCTCTTTGATCATTCTATTAACTATTACATTTTATGTAAGGACAATGGTAATCTTAACAGTTATAATATAATATTGTGTACCCAGTACTGTATAAAACTGGTCAGAAGTTAATAATACTAAATAAGTCTACAAGACTTTGTTTTATTATTACAGTTAAACAGTGATAATATTTAATAACAATACTAATACTATTAATATTACTAGTAATGTTTTAACACAGGTGTAATCAGTCGATAACAAACATACGATTAATAAGAGTAAGACAAATCGTCATCACATAGGAAACAGTAACAGTGGTTGCAGATACAGCCATCAATCAATTGTAATGACTAGTATCGTCCGATATAATTACATATACTTAAAAACTTTAAGAAAAAGTGACTGTAGTTTCTATTTTAGTATTTTAACAGTTTAATAGTGTAATAAATACACTGAACACTACAGTAATGACTTAGTCTCTTGACACTAACACAGCATAGCAGCTGTCTCACTTTTTGTAATTATTATACCCAGTAAATCTCGTTAAATCAACTCTTAAATGAAAACAGCACTCCCCAGTGCTCACGATTTTAACATGGAACTGAAAGCTACGCCAAAAAATGTACTTTAGTACACAAGTATACAAAACTCAGCACGGAAAAGTCAGCAACAACATCAAACAGGAAGCCACATTGATTGATTACACACCTTGCACAGAAAGCGGCCAGGCTGGGTCGGTGGCAACAAACCACCCTAACTTGTTAGGTCAATCTTCCTCTTCTTCGCGTTCACTGGCTGTAAACTCCGGTGGAAAGTCATGGTTGTTTGTCCATTTCTGGACTAATGTCTTGCTTCTTTACTTTAGTTTGGCGTGCACATCAGTTTGACAAGCTAGTGCATATGCAGAGACAGCAGTCTGTCAATCTTTCCACAAGGACTGTGATAAACATTCTGTGTGTTTTCGTTGGCACAGAGCGGTGGAAGTGCAACTATGGGGTGTCCCGTTCGCTATGAAGCTGAAACTAAGATTACCAAGATCTGGCTTATTTGTAAGCAGGCTGTTGACTCCTCGCTTCTCAGGCACATGATGATGCATTTCGACTTCGAAACCCCCCCCCCCCCCCGATTAGTCGACTTTTACGACATGCTTGTTAGGAGGGTAATGGATCTAAACCCCCCCCCCCCCCCCCCCGCAAAGGAACCGCAGAACCACACGGGGAAGCGTGTAGTGAAATCCCGTTATTTCAACATATGGGCGAATTTATTTGTTGAGGGAAAGTCGTTTAAGCTGACGGTGGAATAGATTAGTATGCTCTAATGCCAATAATATTATCTTTTCAGAAGAAGATATACCCCCTAGAAAGAAAACAAATGGTGCTGGTACTCACCACAAAGTGTATGTTACCGTGAAAGTTAGTTGCATATTCTTTACAGGGCGTTGCAGAAACAACACTAGCATTTGCCGGGTGTTTTGGGTTCACTAGGTAATTTTACATACAGCAGTTTGCCCGATGACCTGCCGGCTCCCAAAACCACTACTGAATTCAATGCGAGGGTCGAACAGGTCGTTTGCCTAAGCCACAGTAGCGCAGGAAAACCAGATGACACCTTGAAAAAAAAAAGATGCCGGTACTAAGGATCCTATGGCAAACTACTGGACGTAAATTTGCCTAGAAAAACCACACTGGTTCTGCAACGTCTTGTTAAGGATACGCAGCTAACCTAACTAAGGATCCCTGCCTGTCGTCATTAAAAAAAAAAAAAAACCTAGTAACTACTAAAAACAGTACAAGTCAGAGGGCAGACGCAAAGAAAAAAATTAGAGGGGGTGGGGGGGGGGGGCGCTTGGAGGGGAGAGGGACGAGTGTCGGCCCCCTAGAAAATCCATGTGGGAGTGGACTGGAGGGAGGGTGATGACTTTCGACTTGATTTTAAATTTATGTAGTAATATATAATTACTTTTATTATATGCTGAACAAGTGCAGTTCGGTGAGTGGTGTGAGGAAACAGGCTCTGTCATCAACCCCGATGTGGCGGTGGTAATGTGGTGTTCTGTAATTAATAGAATTGTGAGAGATGGGATGCGAGACATCACAATAAACGGCAGTAACAGAGAGAGAGAGAGAGAGAGAGAGAGAGAGAGAGAGAGAGAGAGAGAGAGAGAGAGAGAGAGAGAGAGAGAGAGAGAGAGAGAGAGAGAGAGAGAGAGAGAGAGACGGGATCCCACCAATTGGACGAGGCAGTTTCAAAGATAGGGTAAGGAATAAACACGTTGAAGGTGATGGCATCAGCGGACATAGAACAGAAAATG